ATTATTTTGTGTGAGGGAAATGAGAGATCATGGGATATGTCATGTGATATTAATGGACGAATTACGGTTCTTTAATTGGAAAAGGGGGGAAATCGGGAAAAAATCTGGAAATTTTGTATTTGGTTTATTCTGTGTTGTGTGAAACAGTGTCGTGAATTTTTGGATCCCATGGTCGTAACTAAAGAAAAGTTTATCGGACACGTAATCAAGATTCTGAAGAAGATGAGGTAAGTTAGTATTTTTAATTATTTGAGGATATTATTTTATGCATTGTTCTAAATGTAAGTGGGAAGTAATTTGGTATTATTGGGAAAATTATTAGCAAAGATTTAGTTTAGGTAATGTAGGAAAATTTATTAATTTAATGTATGTGCATTTATATTTTAGTAGTTTTTGAATTTAATTATATTAATTAAATGATAGTTATTTTGGGAATATGTTTGTAGATTTGGTAAGGGTAAAATTTGAAGGTATTTAAATAATTTATACTAAGTATTTGTATGCTTGCGGAAAGGGTGTACTTTTTTCGTAGAAGGTTTTATAGTTTTTATTATAAATTAAAAAAATATAGGTACATTCGATATAGTGAGAAGAAGTGTGAAAATGCCATTTATGAGAAAAAACAATGTACCAATTTTTGCCTGGGATTTTTTTTAAGTAAAAATAAGTCGATGTGTACATGTGGTTAGTGATATTTTAATTAAATGATAGTTATTTTGTGAATTTTATGTTTGTAGAGTTTGGTATACGTTTAAGTTGAAGTAAACGTGCATGGAAATAATTTAAATATTTGATACTAAGTATTTGTAATGTTTGCGGTATGAATTCGTGGTGACGTGTATAATGTAATAGTGATTTAGAGGTAAAAGTTTTGGATATTTTATTTATTTTATATGTGGAAATGTTCATATTTGGAAAGGGTAAATACTTTTTCACGATCAGGTAATTTCACATATGTTCTTTTTACCGGGTTTAAAGATTGAGAAAATTGTCATGTATTTTCGTGAAATTTTTCTAATTTATGAGAAAAAAAGCAGTGTACATGGATATATGAAGAGTGTGCGCAATGCCATTTTTTTGCAATTCTGGGATTTTTTTTTAAGTAAAAATAAGTTGGCGTGTACATGTTATGTGTATGTGTTATTTTGAAAATGCGTAAGGAGTATGGTATTGTGCACTTTTCCCAATTTTTGCAGTGAATATTTGTCATGATTAAGCAGTTTTGTTAGTAAATTTCTAGCATAAGTGTAATTCGGCTAGTAGATTGTTGGAAGAAGTGTTCAGTAGATAAAAGAAAAGAAACATGTCTTACTTCGTGAAGACAAATGGCGGCGGGGGAAAAAAAAATAGAGGGTTGCTGTAGGAGAGTTGGTCGCCAAATTTTTCGCCAAAAAAAACGCCAAGTTACCATAATGTAAAGTTCAACCACAAAACATTTAGATAGCAAAAACATAAAGTTTCTAACCAAAAATATTTGACAAGAATCCATGTACACAGCGACATGTTTTAACTTAAAAAAACATCTACGAATTGCACAATGTAGGCTACAAACTACGCACACCTCGCTTTAATAAATTAACGTAACAACAATAAATTTCAAAGAATACCATGTACACAGCATCCTGTTTAAACTTTAAAAAACATCTACGAATTGTACAGTCTAGACACTAAACAACAAAATAAACTAAAATAAATTTCAAACAACAATAACGACAGAAATTCATACTAAAGAACCAATGAACATAACATTCTACAAAATAAGAACAAGGATAAAATAAAATGCATTTACCATGAATTAATGCGTTTTCGAATAGCAGAAATATAAATTTCATACCGCCTTTAACATAAATAAAATAAATAGGATGCTGTGTACATGGTATTCTTTGAAATTTATTGCTGTTATGTTAATTTATTAACGCAACGTGTGCGTAGTTCGTAGATGTTCATTGCCTAGATTGTGCAATTCGTATATTTTTTTTTAAAGTTAAAACATATCGCTGTGTACATGGATTCTTGTCAAATATTTTTGGTTAGAAACTTTACATTTTTGCTATCTAAATTTTTTGTTTTTGTTTCGGATTTTTAGCTTAAATTGTGTGTTCGAAACGTGGTCTTGCATGTGTGAAAACCGCGTTTTTGGAGACATTTTAGGCTTAAAGTTTGAAATGTAGACAAAAAATTTAGATAGTAATATGGCACCATGAAGTTTCTCGCCAAAAATGTTTGGCAAGAAATTTGGCGACCTGAGGGCATATATAAGAGTAGTTCCAAACGTAGTTTATTGAGATTACATATTTTTTGTTGGCTGCTCCTTTGACTTTTTAAGTGAAAATAGATTGATGTGTACAAAAAGAGTGTGCTATGCCTGAAGCAATTCTCTGATTTTTTTATTTTTTAAAGTGATAATAGGTCAATGTGTACACAATGCCAAGTTTGTGCAATTCTCCTTTTTTTTTTTTTTTTAAGTGAAAATAGGTCGATGTGTACATAACAAAAATCTCTGCTGCACCAAAATAACAAGTCAAATAAATGCATACACTCGGTATCCATGTACCGCCAAAAACCACCAACTTTCACCAAGGAGTGCTCATAAATATATTTTTACTGACAATATTACTCCCCTACACAATTTTTCCCAATATAGGATTATCTTTTTTAAAAAAAAAAAAGTACGAAGGAATTTTTGGTAAAAGTATATTTTAGGGTACCCCATGGCGATTTTTGGCGGTACATGGATACTGAGTTTGTGCAATTCTTTGACTTATTACTTTGGCTCGCATAACGGCAAAAAAAATCCCCGCTAAACAAAAATCGCCGATACACAAAGCCAAAATAACAAGACAAACTTGCACAAACTCGGTATCCACGTACACATCAACCTATTTTCACTTGAAAAAAAATCCTCGAATTGCATAAAAATGGCATTGTGCACTCCCTTGACTTTATCCATGTACACATCGACCTATTTTCCCTTAAAAAAAAATCCAAGAATTGCACAAACATGCATTGCGCACTCCCTTCACTTTGTCCATGTATACATCGATAGATTTTCACTTAAAAAGCCAAAGGGACACCCAATTCTACAATACAGGCAAACAAAAAATACATAATCTCAATAAACTACATTTTAAACCAAACAATAAAATAACACAAAAAAGGAAAAACATGTTATACATTTAAGCACTATAAAAGGCAACTCTTCACTTACCCTATTTAGAAGTCCCTTCGTTTTTAGTCTGTGGCACACAAAATTCCTTAACAGCATCTAAAAACTTCCTAAAATTATCTGAAGTCGAATCCGTATATCGGTGTCCCCACATATGAACCTTTCTTCCTACAAACCCATTCAAATCCATCTAATCGGTTTTTAAGTTTGACTAGATGCATATCCTTCCTACATACAGGACACTTATAATGGCTTCTAAGTAAACCTTAATTTACATACCAGTCAATTAATGCTCTTCTTTCGTTCCAAAATCGTACAGAAACTTCAAATTAATCTTACTACATTCAGCCATTCTACCGTCTAAACAATAAAACCAACACACACCACAAAAGCGCTTACAAAACATCCCATGATTCAAAATTTCCCAGAATCACGCACCCGATTACGTCACAGTAGAGTTTCCATAACATTCAACTACTCAGGCTACCATAAATGAAACGACAACTTCGCCATAATACAAGAGGGTACTTTAAAGTCTATTCTAACTGAATTTTTTATAAAAAATTCTTATTATAATTATTGCTATCTTATATACATATGTATACATAGGTAGGTAGACATATTTATGTACATATTCTTAAGATACTTAAAAGTAAACCTTAATTTACCACTTTTATTTACTTATATACTGCTTATAGAATTAACAGAAAATACATAAAAGCATCCGAACAAACTTTCAACATTTGTTTTTCAGAACATATAAATAACACCAGCTAAAATAATAAAAGGGAATGAACTATTCACAACTGATTTCAGGAATTCTTATTCTCATTTTTAAAATTCTGTTATTTTCAAAACACAATATATTATCACCAATGTAACAAATCCGTTTTTAAAATGTTAAAAATTATGGCTGACTTTCATAACCTACATACAAAAATTCTCAAACATGTATAACATCATTAATTTATTTCATTCATTTTAAAATTCCATACATATATTTTGCATGTATAAAAAAATCATTAATTTGGAGGAAACACTTATTATTTCCTAAATATGTATTTTTTTCATTCATAACTTTGCCAAGAAATTTTAAATCTATATGCTTTCCGTTCTTAAAATTAACTATAAAATTCTATACCTATAAGAAAAGTTAATGCAGAAAAACATATTCAGGCCATGGTACAAATATATACTAAGGTTATGAATGACCATTCCAATTTTCTGTACATGTAATATTAAATTACAGAATATACAAAATATAGATACACTTGTTTTCTATCCTTCTGGATTACTAAATAAAATATTTTTTGAAAATAAATTTAATCAACCAGTTTCTCAAATACTTTTCTACTTTTCTCTGGAGTACCTATATAAATTCAGTTATTGAATTACATAACTGTTTTTGCTATAGAAAACAATAATTGAAGAATGTTCGAACATCCGAAAAAATAATCTTCTTAATATTGATAAATGTACAAAAAATTATAAAACTGTTTCGAAAAAATCTTTTCAGTACCTTGCTAAACTATTACAATGCATACAGAATTTTATACCAACTGAGGCAAAAAAAGAAATCATGTTATTCCACAATTATTGAAAAGGATCAAAATTTGCGTACTTCGATGTTTCGATAACAATTTTAATTTTCCGTGAAATGAACGTAAAAGCGGGAACCTCAACTTTCTGACACCCTCCACTTAACAATAACTCTAGAGAAGCAACTAAAACAAAAACTGTATTCATAATATGTCACATGATTTAAAACTAAAATACACATTCAGTTTCTTTCAATAGCAAAAAACATTAACAAGAAATTAAAAGCTGGTGTTACCGTAACATTAATTGCATGCTGTTAGATACACTGTTGATCAACAAATCTACCATCTTTTTACTTCCTCCCAGCTGTATTTTAATATGTTTAATTCATTTCCGAAATATCGGCGCATGCGTGAATTCATTTCGATTCACTTTGACAGCTAACGAAATTTAAGGGTTAATTGCTGCCCAATGAAATAAATCTTTCAGAAGACGTAATGGATGGAACTGTAGTTGTGATCTGGAGAGTTACAGCAAAGAATTTGTTACAGCAAGAAATAAGGATTCAAATGAACAGGCTTTTAAGTTCCAAAACATCATACTTCTTGTCTAAGTGGCAGTAGTTCAGTTGATGAAAAACTGTCTACAAATTTCTTAATTCTAATACATTTTTATGCTTGCAAATAGATGTTACACGGCATGCGTTGCAATGATAGTCAAAGGAAAAAAGTTTTTGTGTTTTAATTCTGTTAATTGAAGTGCTTTTGGACACATTATTTTTTGTTTTTGCATCTGGCTTGTGTCACCTGATCCCCCCGGGGGTCGACGTAGAGAACTCTGCGAAGCTACTGGCTAGGATCTGTACCTAGGCAGTCTCGGCCACGGGGGTATAAAATTTATGAACTTGGTGGTTCTGAAGGCTCTGGGAAAGGTCACTTATTGGCCGGCTCCGGAGTCTGGCACGTCCTAGCACGGCGTGGTTCTAGCAACCCGAGGGTCTCCCCCGGGGTCGCTGGGTAATGTCCCGCTGCGACGGGCTCGCCCAAGCGACTGGTAGGAGCATTAGACGACCGGTGCTGCCTGGGGCCTGTCCCCAGGTGGTGCGCTGCTCTCCTAGAGGGTAATAGTGGAGGTTGAACCTAGACGATGTGCCAAAAGGGGGAGTAGACCTGTAGTGGGCTTAAGTTCCCGGAGCAGGGAAGCCAAAATCCTCCTCTCTCCTCTTGTGTCACCTGATACCAAAGTTGGTAATGGTTCGGATGTAATTCTCTTGAAACGGTGTTTGAGGAGTCGTACAGTCCACCAGAGGATAGATCTGACCAAGGCCAACTAGATATATAGTAGATATCTAGTTGGCCTTGATCTAACCATACCTTCTGTTAGCGTTGCGAACAATGGATACGCAACAGCATCCATATCTGAAAAGCCGACTCCAGACGGATCACAAAGAAAGAATCAAAAGATTGTGCTCACTTTATCTCTATACTATCTAAGGCGATAGTATATATATATATAAATGTCTCAGCGCTCGTGCATCAGTACAACTCGCGGAAATAAATCTGCAATGTCAGTCCTCTATACGGATGTTGCTTTTTACACCAGAACAACGGCAAGTTCGTTTGCAATAGTAGAGCAATATGTAACGCACCAACCTGGCGATACGTGATGCATTTCGTATTGCTTCGTTTTTGCAGACAGATGATGATTATGGCTGTGTGTGAAGATCAGAGCCGGATTTAGACTTGACGAGGCCCTAAGCTATTTGAGAAATGGGGCCCTTTATAAGTCTGTTATAGTATATTTAAATACTATTTATACTATATTTAAATTTTTGGGGGGTCATAAGCTTGTGTAGCTTAATAACGTAAATCCGTAAATCCGGCCCTGGTAAAGATCTAATATACAACGCAATGCTCACTATGCTGTCTAGCGGCCCATTTCCTTCACAGCAAGCAACATAGTCAGGGGAACCATAAACTACTATAAAGGATCTGCTTCAGTAGCGATCGTAGAGTACTGATGGCCTGCTGACAAATGAACAAAATGTTATGGCTTCACTGCTGACCTGGAATGTATGATAATATGCCCGGCCACACAGCTAGGGCTGCTCAATCAGTCCTCGCAAGGGAGCATACATACGATGGTCGATGATCAAGTTGCGCATATGTGAACGTGCAGCTAACCAGTGGCGTAGCTAGGGTGGGGCAAGGGGGGACATCTGCCCCCGGGCGCAGCATCCAAGGGCGCCAAATTGATGCTACGAAATTTTCTAATGAAATATTTCCCATTCTTAACACACAAAAAGGGGCGCAAATTCTTCAGTTGTGACCGGGCGCTGGAAACTCTAGCTACGCCCCTGCAACTAACTCTGCGAATCATCGATCGAATGCCAATTCATGTTTCTTTCGTTGCGATGGATTGGTTCTTGAGACCAGGTTAGCATAAAGTTAAATATTTAGACGAAGTCCTTATACATGTTTCTGGATTCTGATTCTGACCACCGAGCTGGTAGGACGTGATTTTGACGCGCTGTTTGTACCTTGCTGAATCAGTGTGTTATACTCTGATGTGTTTTATTCGAAGTGCTTCTCTTACGAATGTGCTATTCGGGTGTTTTTCGTGTGATTTTCTGAACAGTGACTTGATGTTTCGACGGATTGTGTCTCTTCTGCCTAGTGTGTACTGTTAGTTTCGCTGATCTTGTTCGAAAGCACGTGGCTGCTCTTCCGTAGGATATTGTTAGGTTTGTTGACAAGGTGTTAATAAGTTTGGGGGTCGTAAAAGAATATATTAAGTACTAAATTACAATTTAAATTACATTGCAGAGATCAATACAGAGCTCGGAACACAGTTCGTGCTAGCGTCGCGTACCTTGTCCGACGAGAAGTCTGAGTGAGTAAAGATGTCGCTTTTCTGCTCCGATTAAGAACTGGATTTTACACGTGGCGCCATCTCATGAATAGAAGTTGAAGCATCTGTCGGAACGCCACATAAGCAACTGGAGTGAACTGTTGAAGTTATCGTTGGATAATTTTATGAGTGTACTACATTCGATTGAAACCCTAAAAGCTTGCATATGTTCGATGGAATTGAGCTTTGAGGACAGTTATTCTCGTGTTATAACTGAACAGGGCCAATTGGAATCTACATCCAGGTACCAGAAGAGACGGGGATTGCCGAGGCTCTTCTACAGTTATTCAAAGGTAAGTGTGAGTCTAAGGCTGCTATCACACGTCGGTTTGTTTCGGAAGAACAACTGTTTGGAACAATTTTTCTGCTTTGTCACAACAGCCAATCAACACAGATCGCTTTGGATTTAACGCAGGAGAAACTGGTTCCCCATTACAAACAGAGTGATAGTATTCGAAGCTGATAGCTGATTGGTTAAAAACGAACAACCTGCAATTTTTTTGGAAAGGAAGGAAAAAGTCGCGCGTCTTTCTTTCAATGGTAAACCAGGCAGAAAAATTGTCCGAAACAGTTGTTCGTGTGAAACAAACGCAGTGTGATATGGGCCTTACGGTGCTATTTTCCCAAGTATGCTAATATGTCCCGCGCTAGTGAAATTTGTATTGTTGAAAATGTTTCTAGTGTTAATGAAAATATTCCTAAGGTTAATGTTAATGTTGTTAATCCTGAATCTGAAAATGTTGCAAATAATGTTGTTCCTAAGCCCAAAGGCCTTCAAAAAGAAATAAGCGTCCAGTTCAGGAAGTTACGGATGCTGAGAACTTCATTCAGCCGGAAAACACGGCCAGGCCCTCGAAGCTAGAGAAATGTAATGTGGACATTAATATTAGTAATAAGTTTAATGGTTTGAATGACAATGAAAACATGGGTGAGCAGGAGGTTGTTGAAATTCTGCTCCCTAAAGTTAAAGCCGATAATGGCAAAATCTAACATTAAATTCTTGGATTTTGTAAAGCAACTCAAAACTGATACCAAGCTTGAAATTGTAGCAAAAGTAAATGCAGAATTTCTTAAAATTTTTCCTAAATCTGAATCTGATCATAGGGTTATTACGTGTTACCTTGATGAAAATAAGATTGATTACTACTTAATTGTTAGCAAAACGGAAAAGCCTGTTAAAGTAGTGTTCAGAGGTCTCCCCATCGATTGTCCGAAGGACGAAATCCAGGAGGAGCTTGAGGCTTTAGGATATATAATGTCAGAAAGGTGTCTCAGATGCACCGCCTCGTTTTACGCCTCAGTTTACTTCAGTTTTACGCCCTCGTTTGAACGGGCCCTAAGGTGCCTATGCCACTTTTTCAAGTGCAGCTGGAAAACAAGCCTGGAGTTGATAAAATTTATGATTTGCCGTATTTCATGTGTTTTTATGTTTCTGTTACTGCCTATAATAATATCGGAAGTGTTGTCCAGTATCAGAACTGTCAACACTTCTACCATTCCGCTGAGAACTGCGAACTCAAACCCCGCTGCGTTAAGTGTGCGGAGCCTCATAGGACTGAGAATTGTAAAAATAAAAAAATTGAAAATGTGTTATGCTGCAACTGTAAACAACCAGGTCGCACCGCGAATTATCGTGGGTGTCCTAAGTTTCCTAAACCTTATAGAAATACTTCTGATAATGCTAAAAATGTTACTGATTCTGTTAGTTCAAATGCTAAAAATGAAAATGTTAGTGCAAAACCGGTCACCCCAGGTGTTAGCTATGCTAGCGCAGTTAAATGTGGTTTCTCTGTCCTTACTGACAAGCCGGATAATGATAAAGGTGTGAATAAGGTTAAAAGTGTGAAGGATAGAGCTAAAGACTCTGGTCCCGCTGCTGTTATGGACGTACTCAAACTTATAAAAGAGTTAGTTGATATATTCAAGGGTCTTCCTGTTGTTAAAATCATTGACAACATTACTAAAAAAATGCCAGAGCTGCGTGTAGCGGAACATACTATTGATAAAATGTTTATATTATTCGATATCTTTAAAAATGTATTTGGTACTCAATGTACTGACAAAGAATAGTGTTGTAAATAATTTTATCTTATTGGTTTATCTTTCCTGTAAATATTAGCACCGTGTGACTCACACTTTCCTTATGCCTAGTTTGTTTTCCCAAGTGTTTTCCTTCATCTGATCTATTTGATTGCAGTTATTGTTTTCTTTTTCTTTCTTTTTTTTTTTTGGGTATCATTCGCAACAGTTTATATGTTCTACAAAGGGTAGGGTTCACAATGCCCAGGCACCCTGGTGCTACACCGTTCCACTGGAGGCTTTATACCTGCTTCTGTGACGTACCAAGGTCTGGTTGCCTAGCAACAAAATTCGGCTTATGCTACGTATGCCACGTATGCCCACAAAGAACTCCTCTGAATACTCCATGAGACATATTCCTGTATTCTGCGCCGGTACAGCT